TTTTTTTTTTTTGCGTGTTGGTTTTGCATCTGGTTGCTAGGGTGTTGTGGATGGTTGCTAGGACATGATCTCACCTTGAATGCTCGTGGTACAGCGAGAGGGTCATCGTTGGTGAGACGGTGGAGGAGAGCAGGCCAGCACCGGTGCACCATGGGAAGCAGCTCGTCCTCTCGCTCACATAAAACGCACACACACAACTCCAAGATGTCCAACACCTGTAAATGCACATGCACCTTTGACTTTAGACCCTCTCTGTTCAAAGGAAGCACACCTGCAGCGATGCCAAAGCTATTATACATCACTAGAAGAGATTTTACAACCTTGAGTCGGATTCTCAGGTTGGAGTCAGAGAGCAGGTGGATGCATCGCTCCATCACGTCTTTCGCAATCTGGATATGAAGAGAAAGCTCCTTTTTCTCTGCAGGACCATCTGTGTCCTCATCAGAAGTTGGTGGAGGAACTTCTGTGGATAGGAGAATTTAAAAACCTAATTGGTTTGTCATTCCTGTGCATTCGACTGCATGCTCAAAAGTCTGGCTCTGAATTCGTCTTGTAAATCAGCTACAAACCTTCAGTGTGATAGTAGGAACGCCATAATAACGGATCGCTCTGGGAATTCGGCTCTGTGTGGTGTTGGTTTAATGATCAGAAATCTGAGCCCTGAGTTGAAAGCCTCAGCATGTGGAGGATTGAAGATGAGCCAAAAACGGAGCTCAGGCGATCATAATTCTGCTCTATTACATCTGGACCCTTGTGTAAAGCACTTACCACAGCTTGTTCAAGGGGAACCGACTACCCCTATTACAGGTCTGCGGTTATGATGAAACCTTCAGCAGAATTAACGTAACAGTTCCAGCACTTTTTACTTTTATGCTGCGACAACTCACTGGATCATTACTGTTGTCTGCTGTGCAAGAATTAAATTACAGGCAGGAACTGTAAAGCACAACCATTTTCTATCGTAGAGAAATTTACTGAACTGCAAGCCAACACAGATAATGCATCCTAAAAAAATGTAGGTCCAAAGCGTTTAATTAAGTATACAAGTAAATACAAATTTCTCTAAGACGTTCTCAATTTAGGGTTGAATATGTGCACAATTCTGCTAAATTTGGTTGAAGAGCCTTGGAAGTTTTATCATCCACCAGGCAAAAATCATAAGTCAGATCACTTAGAAAGTAAGAGCATTTACATTAAAGTTTTCCAGGAGAAAATAAAAAGCACTTCCAGAATGTACTTAAAGTGCTCCATTTTCATGCACTAATTTTGTACTTAATATACTAAAAATTATTCTTTAGTACTTCTTAAGATAATCTAAAGTGTATCATAAACTGTATTCAAATGCGCTATTTCAGGACACCATGAATATGAACTAAAATGTGCTTTTAACAAACTTTCTCTATATTAAAAAAAATGTATTTTGTAGTGCTGTCAAATTATTAATCGCATCCAAAATAAAAGTTTTTGTTTACATAATATATGTATGTTTTCTATGTATATTTATTATGTATATATAAACAAATACACACACATGCATGTATATATTTCAGAAAAATATGTTATTTTTATATATTAAATAAATATATTTATTTATAATATAAATTATATGAATATAAATATATGTAAATACATCTAAATATTTTCAAAATATATACTGTATGTTTGTGTATTTATATATACACAATAAATATACACAGAACACACACATATATTAATCAAACAAAACCTTTTATTTTGGATGCGATTAATCGTGATTAATCGTTTGACAGCACTAGTACTTAGTTACCACTTGTAGTACACTTGAACCTATCTTACATACACCCGTGGATTACTACAAATGTACTACAAAAGGTATCTAAATACATTTTTAATAGAGAATATATAATAAAAGAACATTTTAGTTGATATTCATGGTGTTCCAAAATAGCACATTTGAGTACACTTATATGTTTGTAAGATTATCTAGAAGTACTAAAGAATCATTTTTAGTAAGCCTATATTAAGTACAAAATTAGTGCGTGAAAATAGAGCACTTTAAGTACTTTTTTTCCCCTCCTGGCTTAATACTAAAGAAATAGGCATTTAACCAAACATGAATGTAAATTACAAACCTAAATCATTAGGATCTTCCTCCTCTACTCCAATGCCTTCTGCAAGCTCCTTCTGCTTCTTATAGTCCAGGAGAAACTGCCTCAAGTTCACACACTCTTTATTCTGGGTCTCTTTGCTGGGTGTCTTCTGGCATCCCATAGTAGCGGGAAACCACCTCACTGTGGTAAAACGTGTCAATTTTTCAAACTTAACACATTTAGAATCTAATACTTAATAGTAACATTGCTCAAAATAACAGTTAAAGGGATAGTTCACCCAAAAATGAAAATTCTGTCATTAATTACTCACCCTCATGTCGTTCCAAACCCGTAAGACCTTCGTTCATCTTCGGAACACAAATTAAGATATTTTTGATGAAATCTGAGAGCTTTCTGACCCTCATTAGACAGCAATGTTACTGAAATGTTCCCAGGCCCAGAAATGCAGTAAGGACATTGCTTTCCAAAAGGTACCAAGACACATCAATATCAAGACGTATCAATACTCTCGATAATGGCGGCAGATGTTGCAGAGCGGAGACGAATGGTTGAAAAAGTCGCTATTTTTGTTTGCTTTGCACACAAAAAAGTATTCTTGTAGCTTCATAAAATTACAGTTGGACCACTGATGTCACATGGACTAGTTTACCGATGTCTGGGAACATTTTCAGCTGTCTAATGAGGGTCAGAAAGCTCTTGGATTTCATCAAAAATATCTTAATTTGTGTTCCGAAGATGAACGAAGGTCTTACGGGTTTGGAACGACATGAGGGTGAGTAATTAATGACAGAATTTTCATTTTTGGGTGAACTATCCCTTTAAGTAAACTAAGGAAAATTAAGACTCACCGAGTGCTTTCATGAGTGAGTGTAGCACACTACAGAACTGTGGTGCTCTCTGGTCATAGCTGAGATCAAGTGCTGTTAACACGTCCTGCACCACATCGGCCACTAGAGGCAGCAGACTGGCATCTGAGTGAGTGAACATGACCGCAAGAACTCGCGGAGCATGAGGGTGAATGCTGGGTCTGGCTAGGTTTAGAGAAACGTCATTGAGAAGGTAGTCTGAGTTCTTGATGACAAGCTCCTTGGATGAACTGTAATCGCAAGCCTTGCAGAAGTCACACATGGCGCTAAAAGCCGCTTGGCTGACAAGAAGCGACTCGTCCCCGGCCTTCTCCAGCACAGGGTATAGCGTCATCATCATAAGCACACGGAAATCAGTGCCTAATGCCAGTGCAAAGCCCCCGATGCCCTCCAACTGGATACAGATTTGCCAGATATTGCCGTTGAGTTGGTGGAGCGTTGGAGTTTTGGATGCTGGAAGCAGTTGCAAACAGTTTCGTTCTGGATTATTGGACACCAAGGAGGTTGTAGACTCAAGTTTCCCTTCCAAGGCTTCTGAGACTGTAGGGAGATGCCAGTTACTCAAACTGATGTACTCCTCGATGATGGACATGACTGAAGATTTCAAGTCTTCTTGATTTGTTCTAGACCGGTTTGTTCCTGAACAATCAATCCTAGAAGTGTCCGTTTCTACGCCAATGCCTGCAGCACCGACAATGACCTCGTTGAGGACCAAAGCAGCTTGCTTTCTGTAAACCGAAGACTCCCTGTAAAATTCCATGAAGCGGTCAACAAGAAGGTAGAGGTTTCCGTAGTATCCCAACATGCGGCAGATCTTCCTGAGTGCTGAGAATATCTTGTCATCTGTGAAGTAGAGGAAGTATTTCCTCTGGGATGGGATTTGGTGCAGGTCAGGTCTCAAGTCTGTCGAAGACGTCAGAGTTCTCTCCTCGATGATCTTCACATCCGTTACGTCCAGCTCCATCACTTGCATCAATGCTTTGGAGATGCGCTCCAGATGTACTGCTGAAGAAAGTACCGCATCCACTTTAGGCCCCAGAATCTTGAGGTACCCAAGGAACACATTAAGAACAAAGAGCTTGCGTTGGTCGTCAGATGTTCTCATGAGTCTAGGTAAGGATGATGCCAAGCTGTGGAGGTTTTCGGATAGAATATCAGTAAAGTCCTGTCTGCCATTGGTTTGACCCATTTGTGCCACCTCATCTAATGCTGCATTGCACCTGTGCTTAACCTCAGGCTCCTCATCGTTGACAGCACCTACCAATGCTTCCAGAAGAAGACCGACACATTCACCCACAGACTGGCTACACTGAGAAAGAAGAAAATGGGATAGATTGACCAACTCAAGTCTGACTCTCCAGTGCGGGTGGGCAGATGTGCAAGAAATGATCTTCTGTAAGACCAAAGCAAGGCGCTGGGATGTGGTTTTGCGCCAGGATGGACTTCTCTTTACAACAAGCTTCTCAACCAGCCCTAGATTTCCAGCTGCCACATCATTGTCTGTTTTCTGAAGCTGCTCATCGGCCATTACCAGACCTACTGCTTTGTACCAAACCCTCATGGCCTTCACTGTAACTGTATGGCCTTGTCTTACATCTCCACTTATTACGAGACTCAGGGCTCGAGAAATCCCAGGTAAAAAAGTGGCCAAGGTGCGTCCGAGCAGATACCTCTCGTCCCGTCCTGGCTCAATGTGTTCCTCTACGCAGTCGCACTGCTGAAACAAAGAAAGGAGACATTTAAGGGAAGCCGTTTGAACTCCTCTAGCCTTTTCGTGCTCTGCTAATGCCAGAAGTAGTGAAACGGCGGCTCCAAGTCCAGGCAACATGCTTGGCTCGTAGAGTTTAAAAACAATGTCACCGTAGGCAGAGTGCATAAGGGTGTCCAGGCATCTAAGGACGGCCAGCTTTAGTTCCTCAGAGGTTGTGGCGGGTTTTCCCGGGTCTTTTGGGGAACACAGACAAAGGCACAGCTCAGAGAACAGATCCCGTAGAGAATCCCAACTCTGAACGCAAGTGCTCTCCAGCACATACGTCACGGCTTCCATCACCGCCTGGATGAGTCCCTCCCGCTTTGAGCCAGGGGATTTGAGGACAAATCTGAGGGGAAACAGAATATAGTCCTGGAGCTGTTGGAGAGCTCCATCGCTCACACTGCGGAGATGACCACTAAGAGCTTCTACGTTAGCAACCGTAGGTTCTTTGGTCAGGAGGACACAGGATGGGCGGAGATATGCAAATGCAATCTTTGGGTCTTCGATCTGATGTTCAGCCATTCTTCATGTATGGAGCACAAGATCTGTGAAGGATGTTAATACAATTCTGGAAAAAAAAAATCGTCATGAGAGAGACAAACATGAGAAATACAAATATAAAAATGTATGACAAAGAGAAACTTTTGGCAACTAAACAAGTATTAATCAGCATTTGTTAGTATTCAATGACTGATTCCTTGAAGTGACATTTTGATTATATAGTCAAGTAAATGCATTTCACAATGGATGCAGTTCATTTTCCAACTTCTTAAATAATATTGCTGATAATTGTTTTCACTAGCATACATAAAGCATGTTATCTTAAAACAAACATGCAAAAAAACATTGACAAAAGAGTCTATGACTATGAACTGCTTATCACACTAAAACATTTGATGTCCTATGAGGTGTATATCACTCTTGTTACTGTGTATGATTAATAAGATGGTGCCCAGTAAGCACATTTAAAAGTCGTAAAGTCACAATACAAGTCTATTCTTCTATGGTCATGTTTTATTTTAACATATGAAGAGTGAACGAGCATATTGAATATTTACTTACAGCACCTCCCCTTAAAATTTCCCATAGTACTTACTCTTGAGTGGTTCAGTGCAGCTAAGTCATGTCAGCAGCTCACAATCATGTCAATAAACTCCTGCTTTATTTCATTAAATATAAAATTACGAATTTCAGTCCAGAGAGAGATCATCTATGCCTGCTAGCAAACAAAGGCTGGGTTTCCAAGACAAAAGAACACACGTGACTTGAAAATGGCTGGTATTATTATTCAAAACGAGACATGTTGTAAATATTACAGCGTTGCAAAAAACACATCCAGCATGATGTCGCGTCGCGTCGATGTGACGTCACGTACGCGACGCTCGTTTGTTTATCAACCAACTTGGAACAGAATCTCGTCGTGTTCAAACATTCGGCAAAAGTTTCGAGGAATATACTCACGGATCATATCTTATTCATTCGATTTATTAATATCTCGACTTAAACCACCCTTTTGATCCGCGGTAGTTCGTATTTAGTGTTTCCCGCGTGCGTTGTGCCATATTGAATTTAAATCCAGATTAGGCTAACGTTACAAAAACTGCTGACAGGTGAGAATTTATTTACATTACCTTTTATGTTTTAGTTGTTTGCTTGATTTGTTTCTTTAACCTGCTTAATTAGCTTTTACTGTCTTGAATATGTTGGCTGCATGTCCCAGAAATTTTGCATTACAAATAATCACCTTCTCAGCTAATCAATAACTCAGACTCTGTATGGAGTTTAAGTTCAAACTCTTCTATTATATCTACTTTGTTAATCACATGGCCTATATATATGCAATCAAACTACCGTTATAAATACTTTGTGTGTGTGTGTGTGTGTGTGTGCGCAAATTTTATTCATATGTACATTGTTTTACTATATTGGTCTCTAAAGAACAAATATTCCATGTGGTCTCTCTTAATACAAGTAGACCACAGAAAATGAGGTCATGAATCCTAATATGCATAACAATTATTTAAAAATAAGCAAAATGCATTTGAAAGTGGTTTAATAATGTGTATGTATGTGGTTAGTTGACAAATTAAATGTATTATTGTAGCATTTTTATTTAATATCAAGCTTCCGGATTAAATTTTATGGCAGTTTGAGAGAATGCGTATAATTTTAGCACTATTTTAAAACCTTTTATTTGTAGTTTATTTTTAAATGTCCTTGGATTGTGAAAAATAAAATAAAACTATGCCATATAAACGAATATTCCATGTCGAAGCTATACTATAATAAGAATTATAGTAAAAAATATTGTTTAGAAAGTAGTTTTAAATGCAGAATAACACATCAAACAGTCAAAAGTCAACTACCCATACTTTATATATTATATAAATGTAAATATAAGGGTCCATTTTTTCCTGTGAGTCCCTTAGTTCGAAAGCAGCTTTAAATTTCTTAAGTGAAATGCAACTCAGACCTGTTTATAACCTGTTGTGTCTTCTCAGGGTGGTTTGGTGAGAGAGAGCGGTCAGCATGTCGTCTTTCTCCGAGTCTGCGCTGGAGAAGAAGCTGTCTGAACTGAGTAACTCGCAGCAGAGTGTTCAGACTCTGTCTCTGTGGATCATTCATCACCGCAAACATGCATCCTTCATCGTGCGTGTGTGGCACAGAGAAATGAAGAAAGGTAAGAGAGAGTTTTACCGCTGTTGACACTGGTGATCGGTTAACAGCTGCAGCTTTGGGTTTACAATGGTAGTTGAAGGAATAGTGAAAATATACTCACCCTCAGGCCATCCAAGATGTATATGAGTTTGTTTCTTCATCAGATTTGGAGAAATGTAGCGTTGCATCACTTGCTCAGCAATGGATCCTCTGCAGTGAATGGGTGCCGTCAGAATGAGAGTCCAAACAGCTGATAAAAACATCACAATAATCCACACCACTCCAGTCCAT